ATTCCTGGCATATTTAAATTATGCATAGAGCTGAGTATTACATAGGGTGTTGCTATGCTAAGTCTCTTCATCTAATCCTTCATAAAGACCAAGGAAGAATACTTTGACTTATATGCTGCCATCACGCGTTTGCTACTGACAAGCAAAGTACTTCTAATTCACTATTTTCCTTTGACTACCACAAAAAACTGTCCCCAGACAGTTGTATTTATACAATCAATTATGAACTGCATAGCTTTCTGCTTTTGCCTGACTCCACAGCTTTCACTAACACAAGCTGCAATAATGTAAATTAATATGACATCACAAGTTAGCAGGTGTGCTAACAACAAAGCCCTAACCTTTACCCTATCATCTGACTTTGTTTGAATCCCAGTCACTGCAGCTGAAACACCTCATGCCTTTCCTCCACTAGAAAGGAGATAGGATTTGACATCTTGTTCCCCTGAGGCTGCAGCAGTGTGGCTGAAGAATTGGAAGATAAAAGTGAAAATTTGCTACTCTGTAACATGGGAATGGAGAGAAAAATTCAGCATTATCAACCCATGTAAGTGCCATGCCTGGAGCTTATTAATCATATTGAGTGTGCATGCAGATTTTTATTATCATTTCCAGCAATAATATACAAGTTTTAAGGCACAGAGAAAAGGACAGCCTTTTCCCAAAGGACACTGAAGAAATCTGCCTAAACTAATAATGTATTCTTAACTTGCCATCCTACCTGGTGAATCATGTCTGTGAATAACTGAAGTGTTCTGAAGCATTTAAAAAAGAAACAAAAAATAACCTAGTTATTTAAAACAACAATTCGTGATGCAAATCTCGGTACTGGTGTTTCAGTCCAAGGTATTTTAGTTATTTTTTAAATATCCTCCCCTTTTCCATACTTCACTTTTGCAGTTTTTATATACTATTGAAATTCAACCATCAATATTTCAATTTTAAATATTTAATTAACTTAATTAAAACTCACTTGGTTAACTTCAAATATTCCATAACTGAAGTACTTCAGATGCGTGAGGTAAGCTAGGAAATTTGAGTATGTAAAACAAAAAAATAAAGGAAACAAATGAAAAAAGTGTCCTTAATCCTATTAATGACTTTCTTAACTTCTCTCTTGACTCTCAGTCTCTCTCTGGTTCTAATCTGATGATCCTACTTCAGGCACAAGAGAAGCATCTGCTACTTCTCTGCATAACTAATCCCAAAGGACTAGTTTGGGGCTCTAAAAAAAAATAATAAATAAATGCATAGTTCCTCCCACATTTGATTAGACTACATGTCATGCACCCTTTGAGCCTTTTGACACAAGCATTCTTACCACAGTAACTTTATGCTTAGACTGTCATGATTTAGGGGTTAAATTTGCTGCTTGTGATTTGCAGTTCACACCTCCATGATTCCGCCTGGTCTTACAGCAAGATCAAGGCTTTTATAATTGCTTGTCTGTACTACAATATTTCATGTTCTAAGAGTCCAAGGTTTCCTTCAGCATCCCAGATGTAGCATAGAGATTTTTATCACAAGGTAATATACATGCCTTATCCTGTCACATTACTTTATACCCTAGTTCAGTCCTTCAAAGTTTATTCCAGTTCTGCAAGGATAACAATAACCACGTTAAGTTCCCACTCTTCTGCAGTTTTATACTGGTTCTCTTTCTCCTGTTATTTGGCTTGAAAACTAATCACTTCTTTCTCTCTCTTTCCCAGAGATTACAGTAATCTGTTTACCTATCTACAGGCTTGTGTGGTGTGAGAAATACACCTGAAACCCTTAACAAAAACACCCAAGTCTTTCTCTCTCTACTCAGCTGGTCTCCACCTTCTGGTCAAAATAGCAAACTGCAGGTTTTCTTAACATTCGATAGGCATCCTAAACCAATGAAACTTCACATACAAATATTTAGCCTTACTGTTGAGATAGTTTGTCACAGCATTTACTAAGCAGCAAATTGCAGAACATTTTCTTATTTTCTTTTTAAAAGTATGCTTTACCAAAACTGTAAAAGTTTCTAAAATTTTTACCTGGTTTTCTTATGACTGTTCTTTTTGCTTGTTGTTTCCTTTTCACTTTTTTCCTTTTCTACTTTGTCTTTTTTCTCTTTCTTTGATTGCGTAGGGGGCATGAATTGCTGAGGAACCTGCTGTGCAACCAGCTGAGAGACAGGTCGAGGTTTCCTGTGTGCACATATATATAGACATGCAAAATACTTAGATTTTACAACAGGTCTCAAACTCTCTACACTTCAGTTGCTAACATTAACAATCACTCTAAAAAGAAATACTGCAAAAATTATCTTGCTGCTAATATTTCATTAAAATAGCATATGAAATTTCAACCCATTACAACCTTTTTGTTTGACTTACTAGCATTATCAACAAATGAGCTGTTTTTTTGGTGTTGTTTTTTTACTAAGGATTTTGAGGCAGGACTTTACCATACCCCCTCTTCTCCTAGTTGTCATATCCAGATACAGACTTACACAGAGTGACATCCAAAAGATTAAGTTTCCAGAGGAAACACTTTACCACGCAATCCCAGCCTCCTTAAATGATTAATGGATCTGTTCTGGGCATACTGCAACACTGCAATACAGTCCATAGCACAAAAGGAAAAAGCTGACTTTGAAGTATCAGAGCTAAAGCCACTGTTGACCTTACAGAGTAAAACATAAAGAGTTTTCAGGTCAAATACATTGAAAGCAATGACAAATCCTACTATGTATCATTTTTATCAAGTTGTTCACCGGGAAAAAAAAATATCCTACACTAATAATAGTAGGATATAGCTGTTAGAACATATATGCTTTAAAAGCTGGCAACAGAAATTTCTGACTACATTCCACCAAGTATACACAGGACAGGTTGCATTTCCAAGTTTTGATCCAAACCAAAAACCAGGGCAAGAAGAGGAACAGCAGGCAGAGAATTTCAACAGTTTTATTATTTTTACATTTTCTGAAATACTATTTGGCTTCTGAAATATTCTGAAAATTATATTCTGAAAAATATAATATTCTTAAATCCTCCTGGAAAAGCTAGCAATCCACAGCTTGGACAGATACACCCTTCACTGGGTTAAACTGGCTGGATGACAGGGCCCAGAGAATGGTGGTGAATGGAGCTGCATCCAGCTGGCATCTGGTGACCAGCTGTGTCCACCAGGGATCAGTACTGGACCCAGTCCTATTCAAAATCTTTATGGATGACCTGGATCTGGGGATTGAGTCTACCCTTAATAAGTTGCAGATGACAGCAGGTTGGGAGGGAGTGTTCATCTGCCTGAGGGTAGGAAGAGCTGTAGGGGGACCTGGACAGGCTGAGTCAACGGGCCAAGACCAATGGTCCTGCACTTTGGCCACAATAGCCCCAGGCAGTGCTACAGGCTGGGGGAAGAGTGGCTGGAGAGCAGCCCAGCAGAGAGGGACCTGGGAGTACTGGTTGACAACCAGATGAACATGAGCCAGCAGTGTGCCCAGGTGGCCCAGAAGGCCAATGGCATCCTGGCTTGTGTCAGGAATAGTGTGGCCAGCAGGAGTAGGGATGTAATTCTCACCCTGTACACAGCACTGGTGAGGCCTCACCTTGAGTTCTGTGTCCAGTTCTGGGCCCCTCACTTCAAGAAGGATACTGAGGTGCTGGAGCAGGTCCAGAGGAGAGCAACAAGGCTGGTGAAGGGACTAGAGGGAAAGTCTTCTAGGGATAGGCTGAGGGAGCTGGGGTTGTTTAGGCTGGAGAAGAAGAGACTCAGGCAGGACCTTATCACTCTCTACAGCTACCTAAAGGGAGGTTGTAGTCAGGTGCGGGTCGGACTTTTCTCCCAGGCAGCTAGCAACAAGACAAGAGGGCATGGCCTCAAACTGCTCCAGGGGAGATTTAGGTTGGATTTTAGGAAGTACTTCCTGAGGGAGAGGGTGATTAGACATTGGAATGGACTGCACAGGGAGGTGGTGGAGGCATCATCCCCGGCGGTGTTCAAGGAAAGGCTGGTTGTGGCACATATTGCCATGGTCTAGCCAGTGTGGTGGCGTTAGGTCATAGGCTGGACTTGATGATCTTAAAGGTCTTTTCCAGCCTTGGTGACTCTGTGATTATATGACATTTTACTTAAAATTACTTCACTTTTTTATTTTTTATTGGAATACAATGATTCAATGTGAAATGAATGTGCAGTGGTATTTCTTTACTTTGAAATTTTGCAATTAAGAAATTTCAAATAATGATACATAAAAAGGAAGGCTCTGTGATTCTATTAAGACTCTGAAGATGCAGATTTCTTCTCCAAAAGAATGTTCACCCTGCCAGGCTCTTGGATTTCATTAGTTGTGTTGCTGGGTTTTCTTAAATAGAAGCAACACAAATTATATGTTGTGTGGTACTCTCAAATTACAAAGCAGTTATCAAAGCAAGAAGCTATCAGCTCTTGCACATACTATCAGCAATTCTTGCTTAGGTGAAGTGACAAGGGAAATAACAAAAGCAGAAAATCAAGGCAGCTCGCATTACCAAGTTATATTTTCAGTAGTGACTCCAATAGTTCATGTTACAGAAAGCCAAATTACAAGAATCCATGAAGTGTGGGAAAGGCAATCAATATAAAATAGCTGAGATTTCATGAGTCTTCACAGCAAATTCTTAATTAATTAAAGCAAAAATAAAGACTATTAAAAATGTCATGACAATAGAACTTTGCATTAAAACTAGTTTACCACATACCCACTTACGAACAAAGTCCACTTGAACTCACAGAGGGATGAGGATCAGGAACAGATCACTTAGTGAAAGCTACCCAGCTTGTATCAACTGGGATATACATGAGTACACACTCTTCAGGAGAACATTGCAACTAGGACCTTGGAAAACACACAGTAGAGTCCAAAACCACTGTCATGACTCAATGGACTACAATTTTTTACAGTAACAGACTACATATGACATTTTTCAGAAAACTTGCCTCAGAAATGTTTGAACCATTTGTCACAGTAACTCATAACAAAACAAGAAGAACCAAGGTGAAATTCATGCAAAAGTTTCAGGTGGTGATATGTAACAAAACAGGTGTCATACATAACAAAACTGATCATTTGTCTTGAAGATCATGTCAGGAGATAAGGATACAGGGAGTTAATATGCCTAGTGACAATCTCATCATTACTACACAGTGACCCGTGAGTATAATCTGACATGTTACTTATTAATTAAGACAGTATTGAACTCAACACACAATTAATTCTTGCCCAGGGATGTGGACAACACCGTGATCATGGAAACTTGTTAAGGAGGGGTAGAGAGGGGGAAAAAGTTATTCGCTAACTATTTTAGGAATTCTCAATTTGCAACAATTTCAACTCCTCAGGGCAAACTAGATAATTTCTATTAGAGTCCAGCAGGAAAATTAAGCTTAGAAATAAGTCCTAGCTTTAGAACTTCCTTTTTCTAGTACCGTAAAACAAATAAGACTGAGAGATGTTTGCCACAAGGAACAGAAGTCATTTAATACAAAAATACCACAGAGAATTCTTGTTTGGGAAGATGCACTAAAAATGAATCAAGATGTTCTATGTGGCTTTGCTGTGGCAAGGAATTCCACTCAGTTATTTTATTCCTCCCAATTAAACATACATTTTCTTGTAAATTATTTCTACAGCTATCAGTTGTATTTATGTTTAAAAAAAAATTACAAATATCTGCTTTGTTACTTCCAGATTTCCTAAATTTGGCATTGAATGTTTTCAATATTAAATAAAAAAATAAATAACTTTACATCTCTGAACAGTAGAAGTATGTTTCAAGCCTTCTTTTTTTTTTTTTTTTTTTCCTTCCAGGTACTCAGAAGAGGCTACTGAATTACAACCAAGCACTTTGCAAGCCATGCAGGTTTTAGGAGATAATTTTACCACTCGTGAAGCTTTGCCTCGATAGAATTGTTCATGATTTAGTGGAAGCTGAACTATATCATTCAAGCATGAAGGAATTAATATGGAGAAGGCTTTCTCACAGAGATAAATTTAAGAAAAACTATTCCTGTAACAGGAAATTGATTTTGATGATTTGCCAAAATACTGCAATTTAAATTACTGGTTTTCAAAACCACTTAGCTGAAGACTCCTGTAGGCTACTACAGATTAAGTAGATACAACAATGTTAACACTGTCCTTTATTTTATCGATATATTTATGGCAATTTTCTTTTTGAGCACATTCAAGAGCACCTGACCTAACTGACGCTTAGAAAGAAGCTCAATAAACTTCTGCATTATGATTAAAAGCATTTTTGCCTCTGCCACTGGGAGTGACTTTACAGCCAAACAAGCCAGAACTACTGGCAGAAATGTTGATAAATACATCTTGCTTAGTCAACTACTCAAAACTTTGCATTTTTATCTAACAGTTGCACATCAGCCGTTCTAAGTGGAACACTAATCAAGAGAGGCATACACTATTACAAAAGATAAGAGCTATCAATTCTTTGCAAGAGAAGTGAACTTCATGGTTCGGGCCCGAAGCATTGCAGCTGTACAATAAATGGATTTACTGAGCTTCCAAGAGATCATCACAGCTCCAAATATTATGCCTCTCCTGTATCACTTTTTCCTTTTCAGGCAGTGTTACCATTCTTGTAAATTAACCTCAGCCATATTTCTATCTACATTTCTATTCCAACCTCATCCATAATGGTACTACTAATTATCTAATTCCTATGTTGCTTTCAATGTCCTGCATACAAATAGTCACACGCTTCATAAACTCCTTTAAAAAATAATGAAAACAGACATTTTTGGTTTTTAAAAAGCCCATAGACAGTAATACAAACATTCAAGGATATATTTTTTTTCATAGAATCATAGAATGGTTTTGGTTGGAAGGGACCTAGACAATCATCTAGCTTCAACTCCCCTTCAAGGGCAGGGACATCTTCCACTAGACCAGGCTCCACAAAGCCCTATCCAACCTGGCCTTGAACATCTCCAGGGAGGGGGCACACATAACCTTCCGGGGCAACCTGTTCCAATGTCTCCTTCTTCCCTACAATTCCCATTAATGCTTAACAACAAGGATGTCATAATTTTAACTCCTCTTGTTGCAGGATGTGGCTACGTTTTATCTTACAAGATTTGATCTAGCTGCTGAGGTAGAAGGTATATTTACAGAGACTGCAGAGACTTGTCTATTTAGTGTA